CTAGTATATAATACAAGTGTTCAAATTATATTCTTGGGTTATCACGAAAGAAAATTTTCTTGGAAAACTATTTAATTAGAGAACCTCATTTGATCGCCAAAAACCAAGCAATTTTCTTGGCATGGTCGTATACTTTGAACGATTTCTTAGTTATTAAAGATAAATTCTAAGTTTTTACCTTGGTTATAACCCCCATCCCATTTTTTAATTCTTTCTTCCTCTTTTTTCTTTTTATATCTTCTTTAATTTTTCTTTGTGGGTAACAAAGTTTTCAAGGATCAATGGACAATCCAAAGCGTATTCTTGTTGTCATGGATGCTTTAAAGGTTGTCTCTTTCAAGAATTTTACTCTCCGAGACGACTACACAATTACCCTCCTCGGTGTAATGCCCTGGCTCAACACTCCAAGTGAGTAATTAGTTATATCATGCAGTTTTTTTTTTTTTTTTTTAAATTACTATATGTCAAAATTTTCTCTAGTGAAAAAACTAAATAATTTTTTAACACGTGACTTGAGTCCTCTCGAACTAGGTTATGAACATGTTTTGTCACTAATCTTATATGTGTGTACATATAAGTGGAAATTACATGGACTAAGTGTTTTTGAGGTCTCAATTCACAATTAAGAAATACATATTTTCTTTTCAAAATCCAGATATGTTTAAAATTCTATATATTAATAATAATATTATAAAATTAAATTAATTTATATACCAACCACTACCTCTATCCACCCCCCACCAAATGAACTAAATATTGTGGTGTTTAGGCGGCGATGTTGGATCTTGTTGGTAGCAGTCGATTTTGTTGGTGGTTGGGCGGTTGTTTTGTTAATGTTTGAGTAGAAATTTTGTTGGTGTTTGGACGATGATTGGTGTGACTGCGATCTGGTGTTTGAGTGGCGGTGTTAGATCTTACTGGTGGCGGTGGTTTTGTTTGTGGTTCTGGTGGTTTTGAAGTTAAATTTGTATTTTGTTGGAGGTAGAGACGATGGTGGTGGTGGTGCTAACGATAGTGGTAAGATGGAGCTGCTTTCGGTTAGTGGTGTATTGGGGTTAGGTTGGGATTAAGAGTGTTCGTGATCAATTATTTGAGATTGTGACTAATAAATTGGAATTTTGTGATAAAAAAATACCATGTGATCGATAAGTTGTGACCAATAAATAATATGTGGCCTGAAATTTTGAGTTGTGACTTATAAAATTTGTTATTTGTGATCGATTAATAAATTGTGACATATAAAATTTTTTATTGTAGTCGATAAATAATTTGTGTCCTATAAATATTTTGAGTGTGATCGTGAAATAATTGTAACTTATAAAATTTTTGGTTTGCGATCGAAAAATAATGTGACAATTAATTCTACAATTTGTGACCAAATTGTATAAAATTGTGACTTTAATATATTTAAGGGTCATGCTACTTGTACACCAGGGTTGACACCCAGTGTACTGAGGGGGGCACACAATTTTTTTATTGGTTGTGGGCTCCCTTTCTTGTGAGGGGGCTGTATACCGGGGTATCAATCTCGATGTACAAGTAGCATTTTCCTGTATTTAATTAATAAAATATATTTTTTTACTAATTATTTCATAAATAAAATTTAATAATATTTGATTTTTGAAGTTTTAAACCTTGTCTCTTAGTTTTGAAATATGTACTAGTTAATTTATTAGATATGAAATTTTCCTCTATATAATGCTGCATCCTCCATTATGCATGCATTTGCTGAAAACCGTGGCTGCCATTGATTTGTTATTTTTCCTCTTTATGCTTGAGTATAACTTTGTTCTTCCACGGTTTTCCCTTTCCTTTGTGACCACAAATCATCACCATATTATTGTCTTTTGTGGGTGAGAGAAGAAGGAGCAACCGAAGTGAATATTAGGAGTTGTGGGTTGGAGCATTTGATTGAGTGTTCGTTGAGATTGGTGACGTTAAAGTGAGCCCAAAAATCACTGAATTGAAGATCTTAAAGCAAGTTTATGCAACAATATTGATTAAATTTATATTTGGACTTTTTTTTTGCCTTTTTCAGCATTGAAGGGTATTTTTGTGTTCTTGCTTCATGGAGGAAAGTGGGATGAACGAAGGAATTATGTTGATTTTGAAATGAATGGAGTAATCATACCATCTAACCATAGTTTTAAAGAACTTGTAGACGGGAAAATGAAACTTGATGCAGCGAGAGGGTTCGACATGGTATTTTCGCGTAGGGGATGGGTTGCCATGTTAAGATTTTTAGTGACCGTAATTTGAAGTTTTATTGGAATCTAACGATGAGTGAGAGATGCGTATGCATTATGTTTTGATGTCACAAATGTAGAGGATGGTTACACGTGTGAAATTTGAAAACGTCAACTCGACGCCATGGTCACATAAAATCCATGATACTCATACAAAAACATATGTGAATATAGGTGTAGGGTTGAAACATCACCATATACTAATGTCACTGTCACACGAATTTGGAACGAAAACATAAAATGATTTTAAATCTTCTATACATGTTCAAAGAGCTTTAACATACGTCTCAAAAAGGAGAAAATGGTGGAACAACGGCATGGGCTGGTGGTGGTGGTGGATTCTCCTCCGGCAGGGATAAATGGGGTGGGGGTGGAGATGGAGGTGGAGGTGGGGAGTAAGTGTAAGGAGAAGGGTAAGTTGGAAAAATGACCATTTTCTATATTTTTGAACTTCAACTTCTTTTTTCATTTCTTTTCTTTTTAATTTTCCACTCAAACTAAGTATTAATTATGATGTGGATGTCCTACTAGGTGGCAAAATAAAGTTTAATGGAATACTACGTCATTTTTCTTTGTCCATATAGGAACCCGTTAAAAGTTTGACAGACTAGCGAAGTCCATTTTAAAGTTTGTGGATGATTTTCACATATAGTATAAAAATTGCAAATATTTTTAGCGATATCATGGTAAGAATTGACACAGACGCTCAATAATATTGTATAATGATGCAAATATTACCAGTACAAGCAAGTCCAACAATCAATTAACATTAACATAACCTGGGAAATTATGTAGGTTTTCTTGCCTTCTGTTAATTTTTATGTTTCTATCAACTATGGTATTGAAGGGAAGTGCAAGATATCTTGCTCACATGTCTTGCATAGAAATATACTTGGTATTTCTTCACTATTTGGTATTTGAACACAACGTGTGTGTTGCCAAACTTCACAGATATCACAACATATCATTCTCTCTCCATCATCATATTTAGTTCCACAACCACAATCCACCACAAAGTTATTCTTTAATCCTTCATATATCCCACTATTTACTATTTCTCTTTGTCCTTCGATGCCCTCAAACGTGATTTTACCACCCGGTCTCACCATCTCGAAAACTAAATCCGTCCCTTTTAGATTAAAATATGTAATTGGTCCTGTAACAAAATTTCTGAGTCCCAAATATATTTCTCTAAAAGTCTTCTGTACTTCAAACTTGAGCTCGTCAAATGTGGCATTGTTTCCCAATATGAAACACTCGTATGGCGTCACTACCTTTACTGGCGACAATGTTCCTCCATCACAAGTCGACCAAATTACGGCGCAATATAGCTTTGATTTATTTTCCACAGATTTTGAGCCCAACTCCCCACCATATTCTTTGAAAAAGTACTTGGTATCAAGAATAATTCTTGAAGCTACAGAAATAGTGCCAAACCCTCCATCATTAGTCATTTCCTTGTGCTCTGTAAGGACATATTTGTACAAGTAAAGTATATCATTCATAAGTTGACTCCATGTAACTTTTTGATAAGGCTTCAATTTTGCTTCATTGGTCACCATCAAGAATTCTTCCTGTTTGGGAAATTCGCACGAAATATCTTCCAAACAATATTCTAACACCTTTGTAACCGGATTTAAGCAGCGGCGAACAAAATATTTTCCCACTATGTGGTTCCCTAAAGACTTGAGAACAAAATCTAATAAACCCGTGTCACCAATGTAAGCACGTGCAGCATCACGTACTTCTTGTCTAGAAACCCATCTTAATTCGGCTCTCTTTAAAGCTTGAATCACCACTCGGATCGCCATTTCAACGCGCTTAGGAGACCATCTACAAGATTTGTCCGACAACACGAGTCGTGGATACTGAGAACTATACGAGATATTGCCCTTTGGTACTTCCAATTTTAACTCTAACATGAAATGAAACAAATCACCTAAGGTTACCAAAGAATGTCCCGATAATATCTGATACCTCGATAGTAAAATTAGTATATCTTTTTTACAAGAGTTGAGGTGATGAGCAAGTAAGCCTAGTGGCATATTTTGTAAGGCTTTAACGGCACTTTCATACATCTCTAAGTTAATGCCAAAGCTTCCACGACCAAATACGTAACCCCAACGACCAAACCATGGCTTACCATAGGCCACAGCATGAAGTAGTCTTAGATCCATACCTTTCTTCCGTGACGTGTCCTTAAAACTCACTTTCCTACAACACGAGGAGTGTGTTAAAGATAGAATTGAATGAATTAAGGTTTTCAGATGAAGTGTTTCAGCATTGTACAAACCTTGCTCCTAATCCAGTACAAAGACGATCCCAGAATTCCATGATTTGGTAACCAGCCAAGTCCGAGCCCGTCTCCAACCCATTAATGCATAGCAAATGACCAAATCCATTACCGTGAAAAACACCATGCATGGTATGTCCTTGTAATTCTATCAAATTCGACTTGCACATTGAATTCGTGTTGTCTTCACTCAACCAGGCTGGAATTGTGTTCTTGGAAGGCAACAAAAAGTGGTACTTTTTATTGCAAATCATGTGGTGTCCCCAACCTGAGCTACATTTGAATCAATACTATGAAAATTATACATTGATTAAAACATTGAAAAAAAGAGAGAAGGGTTGTATTTATAGACACCGAAAATTGACATAAAGGCTAGAAAATGTTTGGTAATATGTTCCCAAAAGACAGTTTATGCAAATACTAGTGTCCCTTTTGGAACACTTTAAACTTTATATGAGGTGGTTCAACATAGAGTATCAAGTCCAGTCCTCATTTAAAGAAACTTATATGCATGTTGGCCATTTGATGACAAATGAATGTAGTGTAGAGGTTATGGGGTATGTTAAAGACAAATCCTTATCCTTGCTCGGAATATTTAAACTTTTAGATGAAATGATCTTGGAATAACTGCGAAGAAATTAATCAAACTAATAAGAATTACAAAAGAAACAAACAAGATTACTCATACAAGTTCACCATGATTCATAATAACTTTGGGGTTGACCTTACCTATATATTGACAATGCTGGCAGTGATGATGAATCGATAACTCAATTGGCTCCTCGATCACAAGCAGGTATACATGTAGCGAAGGATGACGAAAAACTTCAAGCTGAAAGGACCAGCTTGTCATTGCACCAGACAGATGAGTTTCAACCTGCCCAAACTCCAGGAGCTCTCTAACATTTTGTAGAAAGGAGCCATTGAACTCTGCAGGGTAGCCTTGTTGCCCGAATGTCTTGAATTTGAAAACTCTTTCCCCTCTCTTCCTCTTCTTGCACCCACTAAGATCCAGATGGGACGTCATAATGCTAGAAGTTACAAACCCACAAAGAAATTAAGTAGATGAGCCTTGAAAGAAGATATAAAGGTCATGCTTGGTATGTAAAAATGGACAAAACATGACAGTCGAATCTGCTATACCAAACATGCCATAACTTCTCGGACTTAGCTTATATATATACATAGATGGATCACACGCATAGTACCGTAGAATACATATATAGTGGACAATAAGCAAATGAGTTACGAGGAAAATGAAAATGGAGTAAGGCAAGCTCACAATCTGCATGATATGTTACAAAATAAAGCTATGCAAATCTATCGCAAAATTGCATGGCTACAAGAGAGTTCTTTAGTAAATTAATGTCACCATGCTTTTCATCATGCAACCGTCCACCATTTAAATTCCTTGTCTTACGGCAATTTCTGTGGCAAGCAAGAGCAAGCTGAGACTTATATTAAAACTAATAGATAATTCCTATTTTGTTGGCCAACTACCCAACATGGGGTATTTCATGAACTCGATTAGGCCTTGCATTAATAAAGGGAACATTATTATTATTATTTTCATTTTTGCCATTATGCTTAATCCAAGAGTTCATCTCTTTGGGACTGCTCATCAAGAAAACCTGCGTGCTAGTTTTTAATTGAGATAGAGGTTGCCTATAATGGTTAGTCCACTATCTTCCACCCTCTCAAGTAGAGCAGGACATGGTCCGGTTCAATTTGGTTCTTAAGACAATCGAATCAAACCAAAATTTTCGAGTATTTAGTAAATGAAACCGTCGAACCTAAAGTGAACAATATCTAATAAATAGGAAATTTTCGTTTACGGTACCTCCTTGTTTGGCTGGCCCTTACAAAACTAGATTATGAGATTCTGCACTTTGATTATCCAAGACAAGTACTAACAATGGTATTTTTTTTCTGTAGATAAAGAAGATACGGAGATAAAATTCCACTTCAAACTATCTAGGATTATATAGCATTGTTCGAATTACAATAATAAAATCATAAAATTGAGGTCTAACTCTTCAAAATTAGTATTCGATATGGAAGGCACACTAAAAGAAATGTGAAAATATTCAATCAAAAAAAGAGTGAAAATAAAGATAACGGCAAAAAGATTTTGTAACCCTCTGGTATTGATTAAAATCAAATTATATATATATATATATATATATATATATATA